CATATTGAGATCCATTGTAATTAAATTTGCTATATAAATGTGTTTTTTAATTCAAATAATAAATTAAGATAGGATCACTTGACTAATTCCTTTGTTCTGCAGCTTCTGTTTACCGATTATGAATTTATTGTAGTATAAAAGTGCCATCTGAATTTATCGAGTCATTAAAAAGTAGCAGTTGGTGAGTTTGTATTAAAATATTGTAAAATTATAGTAGTACTCTACTATAAGGGTTTCACAGTTTTTGTGTAAACTGCACTGTCCAAAACATGTTCGTTGGGTGATCCAGGTTTGGTTTTTGTTACATCCAGACATTTTCAACAGTAGTGTTAGGAGATTTGTAATGCATGCAGGATTTCATCATCCAGGACTGAAGTTTGGGTATGACTGTTGTGTGAAAAATTTACATTTTAGTTTGATGTATAGTAGTCATAGTCAGTATAGTCCAAACTAATTGGGTACATTGTCCCCTACCATTTTTGAAGGTTTCCGAGCTATTTCCCACTGGACTTGTATTTAATGTAAACTGTATTCATGGTAGAGTTCATGGTGCTGATGACCTTAACAAGGGTCCCAGAACCTGTAGAAGCAAAATAGTCACATGATATCGGTGACTTACCACCATATTTTACATTAGGTGTTTTCATTTCTGCATGTGCATCCTTCGCTGCTGTGTGGCCAAAGAGCTCTATTTTCATCTCACCTGACCAGAACACCCAGTACCAGTACAGGTGCCAATGCTGTTTACCAAACTCCCAAGTGCTTACATTTGTTGGTTGTCCTCAGAAACGATTTATTGGTCTGGCAACATTTCCAAATCAAATGTTGGCATTGAGAAGATGTCTAATTGTAAATTTGGAGACTTGGTGACTCCAAGATGTGACCAATTTCTGTAATTCTCCACCTTACCTCCCAAACCATCTTCACTGTGCACAATGACAAAATACACTTGTCCTTTACCAGGCAAATTGCCTGATTTATGAAGGAAACAACAATTTATCTTTTCATTTGTGAGTTCTTTGCCTTTCCACCATGTATGGTGGAGTACAAAGCAATTTTATAATAGAATGGTAATGCAAATTTAAATTTATTTTATATTCTTTAAAACAATCTTTAAGGGATGCCAGTGATTTCGATACCAATCTTTTCGAGAAAATAAAACCATTGTAAAAAAAACGTTTCCTATGGGTTATTGAATCAGAATACAATAATATAGATTCAGTACCATATTACCCTATTAGTGGGAGTGTTGCCACAGGTGATGAGGTGATTTAAGATGCTGAATGTCAAGCTTACTGAAAATCAACCAGTTTCAAATTCTTCCTGAAGTGCACAGCGCATTGAATAGAACATGCATTCTGTATGTTCTTGCAAATCCTCGTGATCTTCCAGTTGTTTTTTGATTGACATAAATGTTACCCCTTGAATGCATATTTATATTATTTATTTTTCATTTTATACATTATGTGTCTATTTTGTAAAAAATTGTATTCTTGTTTGTGATAAACTAACTTGTAGTTATTTTACCCATGTCTCTGGTGCATCTGGTGTTCTTTTATAAAGTTTTTGTTTTGCCCATGACTCCATTATCCATTTCTATAAAACGTGAATATAAAAATAAAAATGATGGAACTAAAACCCATATATTGTTACCAGTGTTTTTTGGAAAAATGCGGTTATACACTTCTTTACCAGAAGAGGGTGCTTAAAGCACATCACTAGATCTTTCAGTTTTGTTGTCATATAAAAAAAAAATAACTTTCTCTTGACACCTTCTTTTCTATATACTGTTAAGAAAAACATATGTTTTTTTAATATTACATAACTTATGTAATTTTTCTAAAATGGTCATCGAAAATGATTTTTTAGTGTCTAACATCGACAATGGGGAATTGCTTAAACTCATGTGTAGTACTGCTTGTCAATGGGATTCCACAGAACACAAAAATGAATTTGACCATGCTATCAGCATCTTAATTTGATGAAGTCCATGGTGTTGATTTGTATTTGTTGTATTTCCTTGTTATATTTACATCTTTCAGACTCAACCAATAATGTGTTACTACTCACAGCTTTATATTTGTGATAACGAGTTAGTTATGTCAAGCTGCAGAGTTGTTCTGTTCACTTACCACAGCAGTAGATTATTTCTTATTCAGGTCTGCAGCTGGGACATGATCTAACCCTATGGCTTCCAAGACACCAGTTAGTTATAGACTTTCTAATTTTCTAAATATTTTGGAAATGTGTTGCCTTTACAGCTTGTTATTCTGAGACACCATAAAATAAATTGGAATAAATGCACATCAATTTGTAATTTACTGTTGTAAGATGCTGGTCTTGGAAAATAGTACCAGTTGCTGAGGTATAGGTATTAATCTGAATGGAACACCTAAATGCATAATGGTATTTTATATGACATGAGCAGCACAGTGACGGTAGTAAGCGATGATGCCTTGGAGTGCTGTGGGCCTGGGTTCAATTCCAGACTCGGGTTGCTATCTGTGTGGAGTTTGTATGTTCTCGCAGTGTTCTTGTAGGTTTCCTCTGGGTGATCCAGTTTCGTCCCACAGACCACAAACATACTGGTACTGTAGGTTAATTGTCTTCTGGGAAAATTGTCTCTAGGTGTGAGTGTGTGCATGTCTGTGTTTGTGTCTGTCTGCCCTGTGATGGACTAGCATGCTGTCTAGGACGTACTCTGCTTTCAACCTGTTCCTTGCTGAGATAGGCTCCCTGATTCCAACCTAACCCTCTATTGGAAGAAGCGACTTGAAAATGGATGGTATATAACATCTTTCCAATACATGGATTCTGATGCTTAGAGTGAGGCAATTAATGAAAAAATGAATTGCGGTGTCACATCAGCAACTGACTTGCTTTAAGTGAGTGGTTTTCAACAACAACAGTTACGCTTCTAACTTTAAATGCAATGCATTGGAAGTCAGCATTAACGTTACAGTAGGTAAAAGTGGTTCTTTTTTGGAATTAATGTAATACTTTTATAAACACCGACAGACAGTGCAGACCTTTGCTAACAATTCTCATAAAATTATTTTTCAAAGGTATGACCTATTCGTGATGTCATAGAAACGTGCTGATAGCATGGTAATTTATAGACGTCATGTCTCGCATGTGTCTGTGAAATGCATAAAGCTTTAAAGTCTATAAAAATTGTAGATGAACAGGGACTGCTGGTCCAACTGTGAGTCATGTTATAATAACAGAAGGCAGACGTGGCCAAATGAGCCTGTTGTATGTGATTCCTTCTCAGTGTTCCTATAATCAGTAGTAGGGAATTTGCGTTTCTCAGAAGTATTTGTTGGCACAATGACAAAATTGTTGAACTCTGTTCATTGTTGCTGTCTGTTATGCCACTGAGGGTTCCCTGCTCCATCGACAAATGACACGGGTATTTTAAAGCTTGAATTAATTTAACCTTGCCCAGGGAATGGTGCCCATACTTTTTCCTGGTCTATGAGGGCCCATTCACCTGCACATTTTATTTGTCTTTTTAAAGCAACAGTAACTGAAGAAAGAGATGGAAAAATCTCTCCAACGTTTCCAGTTAAACTAGTAACTAGCTGATTGAACTTGGTAAAAGCTGAGTTGAATGTGAACCTGTAGGGATGCTTGTTAATGACAGGACTTCACAGAAACAAGGATTTTCCAACCTTGGAAAATTTCTAAAGATACAGAAAAGTTTAATCATTTCTTAAACAGGTAATTTGTTAAATTAAGTGATTAAGACCCAAAGGTCCCTTAACTGAACAAATACTTGTTAAGTTACCAAATAACTTGCATTTATATACTTTGCAAAAGTACAGTGGCTCTGCGGCTAAGGATCCGCGTCTGTGGCTGGAAGGTTGCCGGTTCGTATCCTGTGGCTGGCAAAAGAATCCTAATTAGTTGGGCCTCTGAACAAGGCCCTTAACCCCAACTGCTCCAGGGGTGCTGTATAAATGGCTGACCCCAAGCTTCTCTCCATGTCTGTGTGTCTCATGGAGAGCAAGTTGGGGTATGCGACAAAAGACAAATTCTTAATGCAAGAAATTGTATATGGCCAATAAAGTGATCATCTTCTAAAAGGTTAACTGTACAAACAGTAGATTACAGACCCTTAATCTAAA